GAATACCTCAAGCGTGTGACGGAAATGTTACGCCCCTTTACCATACTGTGATGCCGTGTCCCGGAGTGACGAGACAAAAACATTAAAAACGAGGCATTTGTTGCATCCAGTGGGGACATAATTACGGATTATAATGACTTATACTGTCTTTTTACACATTGCGTTGCATCGCGCCGCGTAAACATAAAACCATGTCTGCATTTGTGATCGGAGAAATGACAAACAACAAGCGCTACTCTGCACTACTCAAAACTCGCGTTTGAATCATCAGTGGCAAATTCTTTAAATATGAAAACGAACTTGCAGGCTGCGAGTCAGAACAGCCGGCATTGTAGTCTACTCTACCAGGATCAGGAAACAGTCCTCCATAAAATGCGCTGGACACATCTGAATATTTGGGTTGAACTGTTCTGGAAAAGTGTTGTAAATACAACTTAACCACTGATTTCTAGTCATGTCCTCTTTTGGAAGGCCAAACAAAGTATTTTCGCTTTCGCAACGAAACACACAGCATCTTCACAACATGGCGGCGGTGGCAGCAACATTAAAGTTACGCCTTCTTTCTTTGTGTGAACATTTGGACGGCGTTATGCAAATCTTCCCACATCGTGACGTAGACATGTGGGGGCGTGTTTAAACGACGCGTTTTAGGAGGCCGTGGATGAGTCTTAACTTTTATAAAGAATACCTCTTTGGGTTTGAGACTACAGTCTTTGCAACTTTAGGGATCTTATCCATTCACAAACAGCTTGTAACACTCCTAAGAGAAACGAAAACTTGAAATCGCATCATATGACCCCGTTAATAAATGGAGAGATCACTACTGGAATAATTGTTAATGAATGACAGTCACTCTTATTAGTTAGATAACGTTCACTACGTAATGATATACGTAATTTTAATGACAAAAAATGCTAGTTTTAAGGAATTCATGTAAAAACGGCTTGCCACATGAAATGTATCTACATTATGAACTACATAAACAACCCGTCAGTAAGCTGAGCTTTTAATTACGAGATCATGTAAACGATTACATCTATAAATATCTATATCTTTTGGTCTTTTTGCTGTCTTCTTTTACGGTCGCTGTTTGAAGGTTTCAACTGTTTATGTTCGTGCGCAACGCATCCGCGCGCTTCCGCCTATGTGGCCAAGCACATAAATTAGCTTATAAACAAAGAGATCGATGTTTTTCCACATTTTTCACAAACAAACGAGACACATAAATAGAAAGTGGATATAACGAAGTTCATATTTCTTCTGTAAATACGGATACTTACCTGCCAGGATGTCCTGTAGAGTCTGGCTGAACGTCTGGAGCTGTCTGTCGTTCACATGTCCTTTAATCCGCAGGAATCTCGACAGAAACCCGACGGCGGCGTTTATCTCTGGTTTCATCGTTCCTCGGGCACAGAGGGTATGCATTGAGAGGCTCCGTGCGCTGTATGGCCAATGCGCTTTTGTTTCCGTTTGCAAAATGATCCTTGTTTTTCGCGTGTTTTACTTCTCTGATGCCTATGCTGAGC